AATTTCGACTGGGTATCGCTGTGAACCGATTCAATCAAACTTAGCGGTCAATGTCCCTCTCGCTGTCTGCCAACGTGGGGACGAATAATTTCTCGTGTGTACCTAAATTTATCATTCAACACCCAAAAGAAGTACACTGCGGTTGTAATGACCTAGATTTCTTTCTAACTGGCTATACCATATTTTTGGATATTGTATTACATAGTCAAATTTAAATTTCGTGTCCAGTTATAAGCGTGAAAGAAAGGAAAACTTTCATTTGGTTTGAATTTGTTACAAGCAATTTTTTATTTCAATCCTTCAAACACTTATCTAAAGTACCAATTCTGTTATGAAGTGCTTGATATTAACTAGTAAGAAAATCTTTTAATAATGTTTCCTATTTTGCAAATTAAGAACAAAAGAGTGCCTCAACTGAAAGCCAAAGGTAGATCTCTTGTACAGCAGGCCTTAAGCCGATTGGACCGATTTGGGGTCCTCGCGTTCACAGACGTTCCTTAGTAATTTTTTAAAATATATCTATATAAAGAAAGTAATTTTAAAGCGCTTGAAGAAAATTTTGAGTTCAACATCATACAAAACTTGTGTACAAGTTTTTATCAGATACCGTACTCATTAATTTCCCGGCGACCGTTTATTGCTAAGAAGAGAACTATTACATCTCATCCGTCTGGGCTCACTTGATATGCAGCTTAGAAATTCAAGTATTCCGGAAGAGTTTGTTTTCAGGTGTCCAGTTTAGTGCTCCAAAGAAAAACTGCATATGAGATTTTATAGACTCGTAACGTAAATATCTAAATACTTGTCAAATTTATTTTATGCTACGGACGAGTATCAGTAATTATTCATGTTATTAGCGTTTTGATGCTACACCAACAAAAATTTTCACAAAATGTTGATTTTCTTTTGCGAAAAAAATTATCTTTTACAAGATTTTTCTTGCCTATGCAAATATTATCAAAATTTCCATGAAAAATTGATCGCTTTTCAGGTCAAAAAATGAATTTCCTGGCTAAGTATGTAAAATAAATATATTTTGTCATGAGAAATATGTTCAGATGACCCATTTTCTTTACTAATGAATAACCAATTAAATGTTTCTTTTATCGTGAAAATTCTAAGCACCACATAAAAACTGCGCCGTTTTTTTAAATCTAAAACTTCTTTTCTTATTGAAAACTTGACACAAGTGCACTTATTAGTGATTTGTATGGACTTGTCAGAGCACTTTTTCCTGATAAAACGCTACTTTCCTTATAAATATTACACCTTTTAGACCGAACAAAAATTAGCATATCCACTTTACATATTGACCGTATGATTCAAACCAGTACAGCAAAAGTTATACAAGCAATGAATTCTAAGTGCTTTTATTATTCTTGAAACATCGGTTTCACGCACTTAAACGCTTACTGTCTTATTATTCTTGGTTACATCTAGATGATCCCTTTTATGCGCAAAACCAATAACACGCAGAAAAATAAATCAGAAGTTTATACGAATTCATATGAACACTTAATGACATTCCAAAAGGTTTCTTCTTTTTATAATAATTCTGGTTTAGGAAGAGATTTATTTTCACTTCCCACTTTTGGTCTTAATATTAACAGAAATCCAAACGAAAACAAAAACAAGTGTGCAAGAATTTATTTTCCTAAATTGCAAAGTGAAAAGTTACAAGGAACGTACAGTGTTGTGAATTATCGAGATAGTAATAAAATTTCTTTCAGAAACCATTCAATTGAATAATTTTAAATAAATTAATCGGCTCAAATTCTAACAAAACACATCTAAAATACTGATTACACTAAATAGATGTCAAAAATAGAATGACGAATTTTGATGCAAACAACTTTATATACAGACAAAATGGAATTTATATAAAGTTCGTAAAAAAGGTCACGTTTGATTACTTACATTTTAGAAAACTACCGGGCAAATATCAGTTAGACCATATTTTTTCCGAAAAGAAACAAATATCCTAAACTGAAATCCAAGTAAACATGCTCACATGCAAATATCATCTTAAAGTATTGTCATGCAGTCATGGGCAAAAGTTAAACACAAAATATAGACATACTTAACACTTCTCAGAAGCTAAAATACTTAACTTGGAAAAATCACTAAAGTATAAGAAAACAAAATATTACTTTGAGGGTATGAAATATTTTGTTAAAATAAAAGATGTAGGTTAGTCAAATGAATGTACTGTTTGGCAACTTAAAACTTAGTGGCTTTGTTCATAACTCATTCTCTAGAAATGAAAATAATCATGGAAACAATACATGAAACTATAGGGAAAAGGGTTTTATAAGTTCTTATTATTGTTCACAATAGTCACAACTAAAACAATTAAAAATAGGTAAAACTAAGTTAATTATTATGTTAGTTAAAAAAGGATATGGAACAAAAAGCATTAAAGTATACAATTATAAATCTATGGTTTTAAACTAATTTTAAGGAAAAGAGACAGAACCAAGTTTTGTAAACTTTTACCAATAATTTGTTTCTCCTCAATAGAAAGTAAAAATTTTAAAACGAACTACAGTATTGTGAATCAATCCCAAATAGTCCTGAAAGTTCGATCATAAGTCCAAATGTATAAAGTTTCAATTAAATTCCTATGGTATTCCAAAAAAGTTCCAATGCTAGATGTGTTCCTGTAGTCTTGAATGTCTTAATGTGCTAATTACCTGGAATATGATCATGTACTAAAAGTCTTTTGATGTATTACAATAATATAATACAATAAGTTCTTGTCTGAATTCACTAAAATTACAAATTAATGTTTCAGTCTAAGAATATTATTGATGAATACTTCGTATTTCCCGTGAATAATAATTTTAATAAATAAATCCCCCCAAATAAAACACAACACAAAAATAAAAATGGTTCTGCATCTGATATTAAGGTCAAGAATGATTCATTTTTAGATAGATAAGGTTCTGCACCCAATTACTTCATCTAGGATGCAATTACCATTTCTGAAAACACTGTGTCACTTATTAGACTCTTCCATTCTTGAAAAGTCTAAGGTGAGAATCAAGAATGCATCTTTCAAAACAAATTCAGGTTAATATGTTTACCTTCATAGTGATTTGAATATTTAATCCACATTCGTAGAGAAATACTAGCTACTTATTATTTTGCGTAATGGTCATGGTCACATTGAACTTGAATTTGGACAAGGTGAAATACAGTCATTAAGAAAAGCCAACAATTAATACAAAACATTAAATATACATAACAATAAGTGTATAGTTCTCTTCAGATAAAAAACTAATACATCCATATAACCAAGAAATAAAGTAGATGTTGATTTAGCAATAAAATATATAGTAAAAGTATGGCTTGTATGGCAAGTATGCATACATTCTAATAAGACAGATCCACTTCTAAACGTCAACGACGGCAGCTCTACGCTAAACTTTGTAGCTCACTATATACTCTGTTCCAAACAAAATAGCTCACAGGATGACTGCTATGGCGGGAAAAATTGATTTGCCCTGTCATATTAAGAATTTGTATGAGGTCTTACCGATAGATAAAAATTTAATTTATTGAAAAGCTGGATAAGTTTTAGCGTGTATCTTTATATCAATAAGTGATGACAAGTGTAAACAAATGTTGTGGCAATCATAGCAATCAAGGCTATGAAAGTGAACCCATATTTTCCAATGGAATTAAGTTCTTGTCAAATACAAAAAGACGACATGAGTACAAATTTTCTCTCTATCTAGAGCTACGTTTTCAGGAAGCATGGCTAATGATCAAGTTATTAAGCTCATATAAGATAAAATACATTGGTATGTTTACAACAACAGAATTTTAACCACCATGGCAGAGGTTATCGCGGTAATTAGCTTTCCAAATAAGGTTTGATACAATGATGATCTTTAAATTGGTAAGAAATGTTTCAAACAATTATTTGCATTATAATTAAAAATTCTTTTAATATTTAGGTTGGTAATGATTATTTTTCAATCAAGTATTAAATTATGTACAACAACGATTGCATACATTTTTCTGACAGCTATTTTCCACTGCCTATATCAGAATTTACAAGTTATTTAAACACAATAGTTTGTAGTCTAATTTGATAAGTCTTTCTATGTAAAATTCAACTGCACAAAATAGTTGCTATGAGCTAAAAATTTAACACTATACATTGTATGTCCAGTCTGACTAACAACGTTTCAAAAAAGTTGAATTTTAGACTGTACATCACTTATTAATTTACTGTCAAAGCTGAAAAGTATATATGTACTTTGGAGGCAAAACATAAAAACAAGCAAAGCCAGTAGTCATACTATTCATTGCTCGGCAAGGTCTCTTTAGGGATGGGATTATAAAATGAGTCTAGACTTTACTTCCCTGTTTTGAATCTGCATATCACCCAAGAGGACACTTTTATATTAATTCATCTGTTCCTATCTGGTTGTGGTGATTCCATTTACTGCATTAGGGACTGGTTATGAGAATTTTCTTTATCAATACACGTCATGTGGTTTCCAGCAGTATTATCAGTCTGTTTGAAAAAGGCTGTGATGTCCTGTTGATAGCACATTATTGGTTGTGATTCTTTTATATCACTACAAAGTGACTTTTATTTTTAAAAACAAAAGCAGAAACAAAAACAAAAAATAAGTGAACATGACATCAATAATTTTGGTTTAAAATTTTTATGATGTTTGACACGTCTTGTAAGATGCTATGGTGCTAAAAAGGCAGAGGAAAAACACTTTTTCTTCAAGCTTACTGTATATCTATATATATATATATATATATATATATATATATATATATATATATATATATATATATATATATATATATATATATTTATGTATATATATATATATATATATATTTATTTATTTATTTATAATGTGTGTGTTTGTGACCCCGCTATAATACGGTAGTTGGGAGCCATAAAACCCGATCGTGTTATAGAGCGACCCGTGTTATAAGCAACCGCCAGATCAATTAGCAGAAGAACCGCTCTGGTGGCCTAGTGGTTAGAGCATCCGCCTCAGATGCGGGAGGTTGTGGGTTCGCTCCCCGGTCGTGTCATACTAAAGACTTACAAAAATGGTACTAACAGCTGCCTCTCTTGACGCTCAGCATTAAGAGTTTAGTGTTACGACTGGTCGGAATGGTGTCAGGATATTGTGACTGGGTGGGACATCATGCTGCATGTCTTTGGCATGATGCTCCAGTGCTAGACATCACTATAAACTGCCACACTGCAGACATCGTAGCAATATGACTGAAAAATTGTTCAAAGCTACGTTAAAAATCATAAGCACCAACACCATCAATTAGTAGGAGAAAATTATGCATTTGCCCGAACAAATGTGCGGGGAGGGTGTAGATAATAAATGTGGGCGCAAAAATACGTGCTTAACTGTCACAGTTTTCATCTTACATCGATGCATATTAAATGAGAAATACACATGTGAAAACAGAGAAGGCCAAAGAACCACACATTGTCAGATACACGCGTATACTCTTTACACACACACACACACACACACACACACACACAAACACACACACACACATTTAAAATATTCAATAATTGTCACAGGTCATTTAGGTCTGAATTCAGTGAGGGGGAACACAATCACGCAACGAATGATGAAGCACATTTACTTTTCAGTAGTCCGAAGTCGGTAAAAGTTTACATTTTACGTGCGGTAAGTGGAGTTCGCAAGCACAAACTTTTTTCTGTAAAAGGAAACTTTCAAGGCACAGTAAAAATGTTCCAGTCACGTTGGAAAATGAAGCAAGCCATCAAATTCCATTGCTTTTATTTATGTTCGGAAATGGCTTTCTTTGAAGACAGGTTCTTTGTTTCCTCGTCCAGTTGATCTCCGCTACCATAAATGTAAATTTGAAAAAAGCGGATATTTCAAACATACAGCATTCATACTAGATCTCAACATTTGCAGATTATGATATATAACAATACATAAATTAAGATGGTTTGTCAATATGGACAAAGAATTTTTTTATGTAATTATATATATATATATATATATATATATATATATATATATATATATATATATATATATATATATATATATATATATATATATATATATATATATATATATATATATATATATATATATATATCAATACATTTTATATCAAGTTTACAGCTTCCTTTCATGGGGTCGCTATATTTCTCCGCTCCAAATCAATGGTTGTATGTACAAGTTTAAACAGCCAAAATTGTCGCCAATGAAAATAATCTCCAGATGGCCATAGTACACAATTAATTTTACTATATGGTCTCTACATTTGTTCCTCAGTACTGAACTTTCCACTGTGTGACAATCAATACAAATCATATGTTAATCTAAAATACCTTCAAAGATGACTTTACGGTTTAGTTCTTGTCAAGGGTTGACCTGCATTTTTTTGAGAGGCTGAATTGTAAACAAAACACCAGGCAACGGAACACAGATTTCACTTCCGGATCATCACCATGACCTTATTACTCAATGTGCACTGTCGCCGAAATACACACAGACAACCACACCATAAGATCACATTTTAAAGAATAATCAATTGCCTTTAAATCCTTACCAAGAATGCCAAAATCTAACTCTAGTATCACCACCAAATTTAGACCGGAAAAAGTGATCTAAAAATAGACTGGAACTACATTCGTGGGTACTGAACCGGATTTTATTAATTGTGTACTGATTCCTGAAAGGGTCAATGTTTTTGTCAAACTTTTATATTTACATTTTTTTTTTTGCATGCCACTACTGTTTCAACTTCATACATAAAGTCTTTTGAAATTTCCTTGCAAGTAAGACATGTGACAGCTGTCAGAAAGTGTGTAGTGCTGGTGTTCTATAGGGTGCAATTTGAGGTCCAATTGTTCTTAAGAAACCAAAACTAAATTTGCTATATCTTTCTTAATTATATAAATTTTTCAATGCAGTAAAAACCTAATTGTAATACTTGATAAGGCCTGTCTGAAAAAAGTCTTGAAATTAAAAATTATTGATATATTAAATTTTAATGAAAATTTTAAAAAATATATAAATTTTAAAAACTTTTTATTTTACAAAAAATAAATTTTCATACAAGTTATGACATTCAGTTTGACAAATTAAAGGCAGCAATGTTGATTATTGAATGGTCTTTAAAACAAATGGTAGTTTAGGTCTGTACAACTGATAATATTAATCCCAGGGGTACTGAAGCATGATAGCTCACAGTAATTTTGACAGCAAATTGCTATATGCCTATCCAGATGCATATAGGTGTACATACTAAAGAAACAATGACAGGTACTATGTTCCACATTTATTGTTTCAGGTACTTGGACAGTTGTTTGTATAACTAATATCCCACTCAAATTTAAAGTTTTGATGGGACCACTACCATGTTTTATAGCAAATATGCATTCCATTTTAATGCCGATAACTACAAAAGTCAACAATGCAATATGAAAATACAGTTTCACCTTACTGAAAAAAGATGCAAATCTCTCTCATGAAGATCTAAGCCATGTCTTTGAGATGCTGTATATCAGTGTACTGATATGAACTCATCTTGGTCACTTATAGCAGCACACTGCACATGTCCTTATGAGACCTTGCTATCACCATTTGACTACTGGAGAGCTTCCAAATTGATCCAACTCTAATTCTTTGTTCCAGATACCAGACTAGACCTGAAAATATGTAACATGTTTCACTTAATTCTAAAAAAAGGAAGATGTAGGCAAATGAAGTTAAAATGTGTTAGATATGGTGATTTCAAAATAACATTCAGGTTGCAAATATGGTTAAAAAAGGTAAACTTGATAAGTGACACTCAAAGATGTGAAGCAATGGGCATGTATTAAAGTGACAAATGCATCCTAAAAATAGATGAAGTTTCTACAAGCATATTTAGCCATTTACAGGTTAAATAACTAATCAGGTAGAGTATGTATCATAAAGTTTAATGCAATGTTGGAACGGTGAGGTTTGATCATTGGTGCAAACATTGATACATACCAGTATAGTGGAAAGTCAAATGACAATGTACCAAATTAAAATTTATTACTATATGCAATCTTATTCATGAAGGAAAAACAATTTTAGAGATTGTGAGTGAATATAGCAAAATGTAGCCACACAGATCAACTATAGGTACCAATAGATCCTATATCATCAACTAAATGTGAAATTTTCATCCCGAAAACTTGTAAACAAGGATGGATATTTGCATGTTTGGGACATATGCAATGTACTTGTTAAAATCACTTGTGCAAACCTGATTCAAATAAGCTGTTTGAATATTTTTAGTCTATTTTTAAGAGTCTTGGCTACCAAGTTATTAAGTTCAATGATTCAATGATTCAATGGAATCAAATATCAGCTGATGCTGCAATACCGCCCTCTGTCAAAGTACTAAATTGAAATGTGTTACCATACAGAGGCATATTCATGATGAAAATAACATCTTGGGATATTTTAAGTGCACACAGTCAAAACTGAGCCTTACAGATTCACTATAGGTACCATGTCAGCCTAACAATGTCAACTTTTGATTCCAAACATTACAAAATATATGCATATTTGTTCATGTCAGCTATGTAACCATGTTAGGATCAGTTGTAGAAAGTTAAATTCAAATAATCTGTTTGAATATTACTTATGTAATCTTTAAAGTGTCAGATAACAAATATTATTAGTCATTAATAATGCATAAAGCAAAATGGATCATGAGAATTCCCATATCATCTGGGCTACAATGTCGCACTACATCAATCAACATTTTAAAGAAACTAAACAATAAAATGGAATGCATTCTGTGTTCAACTTACATCATTTTGCTGTTTTCTTACATGCAATGGTAAATATACCTGGGTAAAGTATATTTTACCCCTCTGACCTGTATTTCATTCTCTGACAGCTTAATATGATTTTGTAGAGAACTTGAACAGGTTCTAGTATAAAGTCTTCATCTCTGTCCTCTCACTAAATACCCTATAACTATGGTTATAAACAATTACTGATAGCTATACAAGCAGATATGTGTTACTCAGGAAATCACACCATCATAAACACATAAATTAACTGTATGAACCCCAAATAAATAGTTTCAATGACCTAAAGATACAAAGCAAAGTAGAATTTTGTCTTCATGTATTTTAAATGAGGGTCTCATTTTGACTAATAAAGATATTTTCTCTGATCAAATTTGACAAATATCCATCATTTGAGCTTGTATATGGTGTAGGAGTATATATATGCTGATATCCTTTAATATCATTCCCAAAAAATATTATATATGTGTATACTTGGTGGAAATTTTTTATTTTTTAATTGTTTTTTTAAATTTCATTTAAATTTTTAAAATTAAAATTATTTTTTTACTTCTAATTTCATTTTTATATTTTTAAAGTCAATATACATAACATATTAAAATTTCATGTATATGTCATTAATAATAAAAAATTTATATCAGTTTCAAGTTTTTACTGACAGGCCATAGTACACAATTAATTTTACTATATGGTCTCTACATTTGTTCCTCAGTACTGAACTTTCCACTGTGTGACAATCAATACAAATCATATGTTAATCTAAAATACCTTCAAAGATGACTTTACGGTTTAGTTCTTGTCAAGGGTTGACCTGCATTTTTTTGAGAGGCTGAATTGTAAACAAAACACCAGGCAACGGAACACAGATTTCACTTCCGGATCATCACCATGACCTTATTACTCAATGTGCACTGTCGCCGAAATACACACAGACAACCACACCATAAGATCACATTTTAAAGAATAATCAATTGCCTTTAAATCCTTATCAAGAATGCCAAAATCTAACTCTAGTATCACCACCAAATTTAGACCGGAAAAAGTGATCTAAAAATAGACTGGAACTACATTCGTGGGTACTGAACCGGATTTTATTAATTGTGTACTGATTCCAGATAGTCATTGTTCCCTTTAAGATGAGCGGCCGCGTAGCTCATTAGAAAACGCTGAGCAGCAGTTATAAAATTCCGCGCAAACAGGAAAAATATTAGAGGAAATATTGCAGATAATATATTTTGC